CCGGCTGCTGCTGAATATAGCAGGCCCGGGATGGTCCTGTAAAGTACGACCTGTTCGTCTCGCATTGTTCTGGCTGTCAACGGTAGCCGGCAAAGGTCTTCGGTCATTAACTGGCGGCAACCGACGCATGTTGCCTTGGTTCTCAGGTGTCCAATTCTCCTTATCAGAATCACCCGATGGAGATATCAGCATGTCCACCTTGACCTTGTCACCCAGGCTTTTCTCTTCACCTGGTTGAGATACGGACTCCTCGCTATCAGTGAATGATGTTTGCATTCTAGCCATGCTGGAAGATGTGCGACAGAGCTTAGGCTTCTTAGCCTGTTGAGGTCGAGAAGCCGGCCTACTTGCAGGACAGTTCCGTTTGGAGCTGTTGTTCTGAAGAACGCCGCTGGTTGAGCGGAGAAGACTGATGGCAGCGACAGCAGAGCCATTGGACTCATCTTCAGCTTGCGTCGTGAGCTCGTCACGAGTATCAGCATCACAGCACAGCTCCCAAGCGTGGGCGTCACGAGATCTGCCTCGTCCCAGTGCCGGTGGCAGCGAGTCAGTGAGGGCTGTTATGGGTGGTAGAGTCACGCTAGGGAGGGCACTGTGACTGCGCTGGAGTGGTCGAGCTATTCTGGGCTGAGGCAAGGCTGCCAAATCCGAGAATAGCTTCGTAGGCTGAAAGCGAGGGGGTGAGTTCTCATTAGAGACAAGCTCAGCTTTGCCTTCGAGCGAAAGCGACAATCGCACCTGCGACTGTTGCGACGATTGCGGAGAGGGCAGGGTTTGTGATCCATGTGCAGGCGGTGAGCAAGACGCAGGTGTATATAGATCGGATCTGCATGATATATTAGCTAAACGACGGTCCACGATGAACTGAACGAGACATACTTGGGGGTTTCGTCAATGCTGCGGTTGAGCGTTGAAGGGGTTGAAAAGGCACTTGCTGCGTTCCAATGAGACGATGTGAAGAACCCAACAGAGTTTGAAAAAGAGGATGACCCTGTTGAGTGAGGCTGAGACGAGGAAGCCGTGACTTGGGATAATGGCGTCTCCAAAACCGTCGTCTCAGGACCGCCACTTAAAATGGACGGTGTTGCGTGTTGAGGCTGTTCATCCGCCTCGTCTCCGCGCACTTGTATAGCCTTGACCGGAGTCTCCGCAGGCACGACAGCGTTGATGGGAGCTGTTTCTGCCACTGGCGATGCTTGTTCTTCCGGCAGGGAAGAGGTGTAGGCAACTGGATCCGAAGAGAGTATCTGCATACCACCGTACCGGAGGGCAGCGATCTCCTGAGCGGAGAGGGGCCGCGACTTGCGCCTGTCATTCTGTCGACGATTTTGGAACCATATCTACACGCTCGCAATCAGCACCAAGCGCGACCGTTGTCGTACCGGCAATGTTATCAAATACCTGGACCTCCTTTTCGTTGAGAGAGACGCGCTTCACTATGTCTAGGCGTGCTGCCTTGTCTGGTTTCGGGTTCGCAACATAGGCAGCCTCAAGTATCGACTTGTCTTTGGCACTACAGTGATCAAACAAGAGTCAGTGGCTGCAGCACAAGAACGCGTAGCAATTGGGGCCAAGAACAATGACATACGCAGTTCTCTTCCTCTTTCCCTTTGGGTGACGCTCAGAGTCGGGATTTGACACCTCGGTCTTGACAGACGAAGAAGGCGCGAAGTCGGGGGTTTCTGTCCCAGTTGCAAGAGGCTGTCTGGTAGGAGTCTGCGCGGGTTGATCTGTCCGGAAGGAGGATTCGCGTGGAGAGGGGGAAGAAGAGGACTGCGGTGCTCCAACCAAGGCTTGAGAGGAGATGTCGGAGACAGACATGGCGGCGGTCGAGGCTATGAGTAGTAAACGACAGTCATGATCTGGGGTCGGTACAACTGAACGAGGAGTCGCGAGCCGGGGGCGATGATAGAGAGCGTGCACTCAAGGAAGATTGGACGAGACACGGGACAGGCGTGACAATAAAGTGAATTGAAGATAATTGTAGGACTGCAGGCAAAACAAAGTTGGGAGGAGAGTAAAGTAAAGAGGAAGAATGACGAAGAGAGGCTTCCAGGAACGGACGAGGTGGGGAAGCGAGAGTGTCGAGACACACGAGGCGCGGTTATTCGTCGCAATTAAGGTCAGGTACGGTCCAGGTGAGTTGTGGTGCCTTCCACTTGGGTTTTGGTGTTGAACACGGCGCGTCTGAGAACCCCAACTAGGGAAAGGCACTTACACGCTAGAGACGTGGATAGTGGAGTTGCAGATACCCGGCCAGGGTACCGTAGGTACTGAGCTTGGTCAGAATACCGGCTCAGTGCAGTGATATAAAAGTCTTTCTGAAATTCATGTTGAGCAAGTATTTGTAAAAAAGAGGTGAGATTTCGCTGCAGATTCAAGAAAACTCGTACTGACGCGTAATACTCATCGTATTTGGTCGTGAGTGTGATGTGAAGTATTTGAGTGAGTAGCAAGTGATAATCATCTACCAAGTACAGTATCACTAAGCCTACCAGGTCAGGTACCGCACAACAGCGCGATCGCGGCACGGATCCGCAGACCCACCAAGTCACATCCACGTCTGTTTTTGTGTGATTTACCACCTTACGAATACCTCGCAGCAATGTTTGCGCTTGAGCATCAGGCGCGGCATACTTCCATCTACATTTTATAGGCCTCATATTCCATGGCCGGACGAATGCGGCGCAGACAGCCTGTTAGCCAATCCAAGTACACATTCATCTGAATTGAGCAATGTCGTTCGCAAGACATAGCCAATACATGCACGTACTTCAGCACATGGCTTCATGTTCACTGACCCAAAGGTCCGTTGTTCCTTGCTTACTTAAAATCAAGTCTACGCGCTCAATGTAGGTACCTAGCTTCTGCAAATTAGTGTCATAAGGTAAGGTACGAATACCTAGCCTACGCATAAAAGGCTTGGACCAGTCACGTCGCGCGTCTGTTTTCAATTGGGAAATAAAACAAAAACAGTCTACTTTCCATCACCAGGGGCTACATACACCGACAAGATTGAAGACAGACCCTAGAAATACCTAACACCTTAATCATTTGCGGTCCGCATGAAAATTACAAGCACGCATCGAACTCTGCTAGTCTTACCGTTGACGACCTGACCGATGGACATCCCTTAGTCCACTCGCTCTCTCATCTTACCTCCACACCTCTCCTCCTCATTTTCTGGACTTAGCGTGCTTTTGGTCTGGCGCCTCGCCTGATGAACAACGCGCGTATGCATACAAGTCTGCCTCTCGCGCCGTATAAGCTGTTCGTGACATACTGGATAAGAAGCCCATAAGGCCGAATGTGTGAATCGTATCCAAAAAGCGAAGTCGAGATTGGTCATGTGCTGCATTCTGAGATACCACTCTTCGTCATTTTTACATGCCACCACGCGCGTGCAAAACACCCCGGTTCGACCTGAATTCGATACTATGCTTCCGTCAGCGGTAGAACGCGAAGGGCAACTGGTCGTCGCTTGTGCGTGGTATTTGACCCCAGACCATCCCTCCTCCGTGTACCCACCCTGCCGCATCTGACCGAGTCTGCTCGGGGACCATGGAGCCTGGCGCGAATGCGAATTGAGGCATGAAGGCTGGAACAATATACGTACACACTTGATTGAGTACGGAAAACCTTTGTTCTCCGTCATATACCAATTAACGCCCACCTTGCCCTCCCACCTCGAAATACAGCAGACCCAGTGACGCGCGTGGCAGTTGGCACGTAAGCCGCACTCAGCAAAAGAATCTCCATTAGAATCCATGTCCTCCTAAGTCCCGCTAGCAACTCTCGGTTCTTCCGTCAGACACCAAAGTTCCGTACTATCATAGATTAACACCCAGCCACCTCCCCGACACACAGACAACCAGACGCGTCGCTGGATCCCGAGTATTTAACACACCAGCACTTCTGTTACTGGTCAACCAAAATCGCGTTCAAAGAAGCGAACAGTGGGTATGCACTGACTTTGACAGAGTACACGGTATCGTGTACATCCAGAGGTGGTTGGTGACCATCAGAGACGGCCCCGGACCCTTGAAAACACATACCGGAATCTGGTACAAAAATAGTGCTTGCGGCCACAATACAGACCCATTTGTGCAAATGCTCAGGCTCCTCTCAATTCGAATTTCAGCTGCTAAGTTATGCGGTACAGCTACCTGCCTTGCGATTATGTCTCCAACAACTGAATTGTGTTTGCCGAAAGCTCAACCTACAAGGGCTTCCATAGAAGTTCATTGTTTCTATACTGCATTCAAGAATACCAACTTTGGAATATATTACACAGGATGAGTAACCGTTCCCACCTCTCACCGACACTCATCGAAAGGCAAAGCAATATTCTGGGGTCTGGGCCCTGGACTTTCCATTTAGGTACTTCATTCGGTCTCACTCGCAACCTGGGTCCGTCACATTATCGTCAAAGGTACTACTTACTTTTGTGCTACTTATGCACCTTTCGAGATATCTGGAACCCACTTATTATCTCTCACTCAGAACATGATGTGACGTAGCGTGGTTGAGTTGCATGATGTGGTCCTGACGAGACTATGTTGTTGACCGTTTCTCTACCTGCCTTTGCGGTCCTTCTTCTCTCTCATTGTCTGTCTGCGTGTCTGTCTGTCTGTCTGTCTCCCCAATCATGCCTAGCTAACCATTGAATTGCTATCTAATTAAGTGCATTGCGCTGTCTGTCGAGGTACGGATACGCATAGTAGAGAAGAGGACGAGCGAACCCGAGACACCTTGGTGGAAATGTAAGGACTCAGTGTTCATCTTGTAAGGCGTCAAACTAATCAAAGTATGCTGGTCGTCTCGCAGCAAGTGTAAAACCCTCCATCCAGCTCCGAGTCTACCATACGAACCGGCCGTGCCGTCTTCTACCATAATGACCGTGACCAGCTATTGCCGGTCTGCGCCAGAGAATTTCGGTTCACGACGTCCTTTCAACCGTTCCACCGCGTTGGGATCATGTCCATGCCGCGTCTCTATCTTTACAAGTCTTCGTCCGAAAGCTCACCGGGCAGAGGCATGTTGGCGGCCTCGTCCATCTCCTTGCGGTACTGCTCGAGGAGCTGGGCGTCGACCTGAGCGGTGGGGGGGGCGAGAGCCGGTGCAGCAACGAATTCCTGTGGAGCAATTAGCATGAAAATTTTGGAGGCAGAGACCGGTGCAGAAGATCGTTCGGGAGCATACCAAAGCGGGGTTGCCGACAAGCTTACGTGCAAGCCAGAGGAAAGGCTTCTCGAAGTTGTAGTTGGACTTGGCAGAGATATCGTAGTACTGAAGGTTCTTCTTGCGGTGGAAGGTAATGGTCTTGGCCTTGACCTTGCGCTCCTTCACGTCGACCTTGTTACCGCAGAGAACGATGGGGATGTTCTCGCAAACACGAACGAGATCGCCTAGATGATCCTTGTTAGTTGGGCTGGTCGTTTGGGGTCAAAGACATAGACTCGAGTCATGCCGATCCAATGGGTGCCACGTACGGTGCCAGTTGGGGACGTTCTTGTATGTGATACGGGAAGTGACATCGAACATGATGATACCGCACTGGCCGTTGATGTAGTAACCATCACGGAGACCACCGAACTTCTCCTGGCCGGCGGTATCCCAAACATCGAACTGAATCTGACCAAAGTTCTGCGCGCGCTGAGTTAGAGACCGGCGACCGATGCTATAGGGGAACCAAGCCGATGGGAGGTACTTACCGTGCTGAAACCCAGAGGGTGGACTTCGACACCAAGAGTGGCCATGTACTTCTTCTCGAACTCACCAGTCAAGTGACGCTTGACGAAAGTGGTCTACAACGTTACACACTGTTAGCAACGCGATAAAATGGAGGGGGGAAGTGGAAGGGAATGCTATCGGCTGAAGTCGAGGGGTCGATGTTGGCGAAGAGGGCAAACGATGCTGTCGGGCGCAACCTCGATAAGGGCCATGGGGGACGAGGGAGTATTAGAATCACCTTTCCGGTACCGCCATCACCGACAAGAACGAGCTTGAAGGTAGGAGTCTGCTGAGTTTCGGCCATGTTTGCTATCGGTGAAGGAATCGGATCGGTGCGAGTTAATTGTAAACAAGCGGGGCTGATCGCGAGGTTAGCAGCTGGCGCAAAGCGAAAGAAGGCAAACAAATGGAGAGATTCGTCGACGTGAAGGCGCAAACCAGCGTCGGCAAGGGCGCGGAGTAGATGAATTCGTACCGGAGAGAGGGATGGGTAGTGGGCTGTAAACTTTTCGACGAGTGGAAATCGTCACCGACTGATCGACTTTAGGGGGGGGTTATGTTTTTGAGGATGGCGGGGGAGCTTGCAAGGAAGCCGTACTTCTTAAGCGAAAAATTCAGTCAGGCAGGCCAACGAAGTCGGGTAGGCACGATTGGGCTAGGCAAGGGTCACGTGCGTCGCTGTCTCGTCATAGTGGGGTTCCCTTTCAATGGGCGACGGCAAGTACGTCTCTTTCCATTCGTTCTTTCCTCCGGGCCGCTTCCATTTGGGTGACTGGATATTTCCTTGCCTCCTTCAGCAACAAGTTGGGTTCCATTGCTTCGGGCACTTGAAGATTAAAAACCTTCGCCGGCAGATCGCTCTCATCAAGAACCCCAAGGTAAGAAATTTCACACAGTTTGGCGGCGAATGCATACTTGACGCGCTCGACAACTCTCATGCTCGTATCATGGAAACTACCAAAATAATTTTCGAGGTCCGCTTTTCCGTCACTGCTTACCTTAGGCGTGGGCGGTCAATCCAGACATAGTACCTAGGTACGGCACCTTTGTTAGCCATCCATTGACATTCTTCTTTCTCACCAGAACATGCAATCATTATCTCAAAAGTAAGTAGTGCCAACATCATCCTCCGCCACACATCTCACAAAACCCCTTAAACATTCGACACAGGCAGCTGTCCCATCAGGCCGCGACTTGCTTTGTAATCCAACTACCACTTTGCCTGTTCCTAATCGCTGCCTGTCCAGCCATGGCAATTATCTGCCTAATGGTTCATCTAATGACCGCAGCCGATGGCTTACACCAGGTACTTAGTCATGCTAGTGAATCCAGAAGTATGCCGAGCCACGTGGAGTCGAAGCGGCCTTCCGGCCAGTTAATTCTATCTTTCGGGCACCCAAGGCATTAGTGACTCTCACTGATCGTTCTCAACAGCGCGCAGCCGTGTACTTTTCGGAATGAATCTTCGTGTCTTATGTCAGTGAAGTTGTCGCGAAACATGTCGGCCTACTGTACATACGGCGATATCAGATCCTTGTTTGGTCGCTGCAGCTGAAGCAATATATTCCTCTCTCACAAAGGTAGGATGTGACAGCCCAGCAAACCTCTGCCACCCCAATTACGTCTCGGAGTGAGTGTTACGTGCAGCTCCTCCCGCGCCCCTTGGCTGGGTCGAGATATCCTGACTAGAACAGGTCGCTTTGTCCGGTTAATGTCATATCCACACGAGTGTCGGGCAATAGTCAACTTACACCTTCATTCCCTTGCACGCATTCGGCCACCTTCTTGAGATTGTCGTGGTTTGAGCTGTTGACGTAGCCAAATATGCGAATTTGGTCATTCGGCTTTAGGCCAGCTAACTCAGCTGGGCTTCCCGGAACCACAGCGTTGACCTTTGCGAATGGCTCCTCCAGCGGCTGAGATGCTGAATGATCTGCTAGGGTGTTGTTGGCACCCCCGGAGAGCGGAACCTCGGGTTTCTCCTCTTCTTGCAAGCTGGCAAAGTGCTCATGGAGTTGTTTCTCAACCATGGCCATGAGCTCCTTGTAGTCATTGCGGAGGTGGATGATGCGGGCTCTGGTAGTACGCACTATTACAATCAGCAGGGTACTAGATCTCTGCCACCAGAGGAGAAACACCTTGAGCAATATCGAGATCGGCTCTTGGAAAGCCGTCTTGAGTTGTGAGAGGTGTGTTCATGTCAACCCCGTGCTGGCTCACCAATCAGCTGAATACTCGCTTCTCCATGTTCGTCTCCGAACACTGGAGCGGGGGGTCTTGAAATCACAAACAGAGTCGAGGACTGCACCCAAAGCTTTCAATTCAGCCTCCATGTTTTCTTTCTTGTTCTGTAGCTCGGCAAAAGAGAGGCGACCAAGGTCACCGTTCCTCGACGTATTGCTGGCTGGGCCCGAGGGCACGGTTGGAGCGTGTATGTTGTCCATCCTGAGGGGCAATCCCATAGCTGACCGGACGGACCGATAGAAATGCGAGGGGGCTTAAGTGCGATGAAGAGTCGGTTTCTGACTTCTTGCAGCGATGGCAGACGACTTCGTTCATGTGCCCAGTATTTGAGCTGGAATTGATGTTGGTGGACCTCAACTTCACCCCTCTATGTTGGGGTATTGCATCGACATAGAAGACATCCAATTGTGAGCCCCGCGCCCCAAATCCTTGGGCAGCGTCATGGGGACCTGCCTACGTAGCTACCTACCTTAGCCGGGTATCGCAGGTGCTTAGGTACCTGAAGAAGGTGCCTGTCCAGCCTTAGATTCATTGGGCCGTGCCTGCCTTAGGTATCTTGAGTGCTAGGGTAGGTACCCAGCATTGTGACTCCATGCGCTGACTAACTCACAAGACCTGATGGAGCCTAGAATCACTGCTGGTACCTGAGGCACAAGAAGCGGTCTAACTGGAACCCCGACGCGTCCATTCAGCGACCCGATACAGAGCTCTTAGTTCAACCCCAGCCAGCTCCCGATCTCCTGCTAGACTGTCCTTGTATCGACGTCACAGTTCCATTTCTTCTTCCTCCATCCTCTTACCCCGTCCGCTCTCTGCCTCTCCGATCATCATGGCGACCGGCGTCGACGCAAAGCTCCTAAAGTCCACCAAATTCCCTGCGGAATTCAATCAAAAGGTTGACATGCAAAAGGTCAACCTTCAGGTGATGAAAAAGCATGAGCCTCGCCTTCCATTGTCATTCAATTGCTAACTGATCTCTTTCAGGTGGATAGCCAGCAAAATTTCCGACATCCTGGGAAGCGAAGATGACGTTGTTATCGAGCTTTGTTTCAATCTGATCGAAGGGCCCCGATTTGTCAGTATTGTCTGCCTCGACCGATTCTCGCAATTATCTTCTGACTTTCCTCCAGCCAGACATTAAAGCTTTACAAATACAACTTACGGGCTTCTTGGACAAGGACACGGCGCCATTCTGCAGGGAACTATGGAAATTGTTCTTGAGTGCCCAAACAAGCCCTCAGGGTGTGCCCAAAGAACTTCTAGAGGCCAAGAAGCTAGAGTTGATACAAGAAAAGGTACGTATCAATCTTCATCCACAGCCAAGGACAGTCACTGACATAGACCAGATGGAAGCCGATCGCGCTGCAGACGAGGCACGACGCCGCCGAGGCGATATCGACAGGCGTCAACAAGATGGCCCGGCACCGAGAGATAGGGATCGCAGTGAACGCGGACGCGGCCGCGGCGGCGGTGGAGACATGCGGCGTGGTCGCAACAGTGACAGGGACTACGACCAAAGAGGTAGACACGGAGGACGGTTTGGTAGCAACAGGTCGCGCTCACCGGCTGCGAGGAACCGTGATCAGAGGGACAGAGGCTCGTTCCGTGGGTCCACTAGAGACAGCTATGTCCCAAGGAATCACGGTCTCGATAGCCGAGTATCTGGCCGTCGTCGCAACGACACGCGCTCTCCGTCTCCGGCATCCGCCACCTCACGGTCGCGCAGCCCCGATCGCAAGCGGGATTTTAGTCGTGGCTCGCCCCCGGCCCCCGCCCGACGAACTCGTCGAGAACGCAGCGTATCCAGCCCCAGGGCTACGAGAAATCGATCGGCGTCGCCGAGAAGAAGCCAGGGGAAGTATCGCGAATCACGAAGGAAAAGGAGATCTTCACGAAGCCCTTCGACGCCCTCAACATCGCCTGATAAACGGGCGGCTGCAAAGCGCCGTAGATACTCCTCTTCACGGAGTCGTTCGCCAGGTCGTGAGAGACGATCCCGCAGTAGAAGCTCGAACTCAGCATCGTCTCGAAGTTCTAGATCACGCAGCCGTAGCTCTACGCGTCGAACCTCTCGGGGACGTGCAAGTCCGAGATCTCGAAGCAGTCCCCGACATCGCCACGATAGTAGCGTCTCTCGCTCTCCGGATCCCAGCGCTCGCAGAGCAACAGCCGATGATATTAACGAGACTGATCGCGAGAGCAGGAGAGGCCAAGGAGAGGGAGAGGGTGAGGCAAAAGGAAGCCGGAGACGCAACTCATAGCCTCGCTCATGGAGATCGGCTGATGACTCTAAGAGGTGACTTCCAAACTTTGCACAACTTTAAACAGGCCGATTCCTGCGTCACAAGACGATAGGTGGGTGGCGATTCTTGGAACGAGATCCGACAACTCAAACAGGTCTGGCTAATCTGATACTGGCACTATGCAGACACAACGTTGCCAGGTCTTCCAGCAGCGTTGGCGAAGGCAGAAGATCACGGGAGAATGATAAAAAACAAGAGACGCTAAGCTCGCATTTCGCCTCATTTACAAACGGCTAAGGCTAATCGTCTAAGAAGTTTTGCTGCATACCTTACACAAACATACGAGCTCGCTGGTCAAGGGGGTTGAGGGCCCAAGGCGAAGCCATTCGCTCAATTTGGTACGTTGACTGTATCTTCTCGAGTCCCATAGACATAAGGCACCTGAGGGATTCTGCCTACCTCTTCCGTGATGGCTGTTTACACAGCTCGGTCTCTACTACCTTGCATTTCTTTTGTCCAACAAAGTACCAAGAATGGCACGATACAGTCATGATTATAATTCGCTATCCCGTTTCTTACCATCACCGTTGCTGTTTGATCCAAAGTCAAGTACGGCCTTGAAGAGGGGGAAAATTACCAGACTTAAGTCGGCGATGACCACACATTCGTAAGCTAGATAGCCATGATCTTCCCAATTAAACTAGTCCCCAATCTTAAAACAGATTTCCCTCCTACATTCCAGACGTAGGAATTGGATACGATGCATTGGCAACACTAGGTACTAAGTGCCTGTGACATCAGCCTTTCGTTCGTGGTGAGGACGTTGATCTGTAGCCAAGCTAAACGCCAGGTTCACTTCCGATACTCAGTCGTTGACCGTATGCACCGTTTCCCGATGCGCAAGAGCGAATACAGCCGTCACGAACATCATCTACATTAGAAGGTGAAATCTTATGGAAAAACTGGAATTCCGCATCTTGGCAAACTCATATAACTACCTTCGCGGAGGTACCTACTCACGTCAAAATACGGTGGGAGAGCCAAGGTACCTTGAGGCTTGAGCACGATCCGACTGGGTACCTACCTAGGTAGGTAGGTCTCCACTCGTCCATGAACGGCGCCCTGTAGCTCCGTGGCTCCGAGCTAGCATTGGAAACTACCTTAATGCATGGAGGTACAACTCAACATTTAACCACCACTTCAATCCATTTCATCGGCCATTTCAACTTCCTTCCTCTGCGTCCCGTCACGTCGATCAGCCGCCCATCGCTCTTTCCCAAAATCATGTTACGGGAACTGAACGAGTAGCGGTGGCATTGTTTCTTCTTACCCCCAAGCGTATGTGTCCGCTCACGCCTAACGTTCCTCGTTTGGAGTGATCTCCAGGGAAAGAACTGTAGGTCTGGAGGCTCCTGTGTTCCCGACGTTCATTACTACTCTCAGACTGTATGAGGGCCATCTCAGTATCATATTTCTCTTAATCCCACGAAACCTTGGGTTCTCATAGGTGTGAGGGCCATATTTCCATCCGGCAGGCGGCTTTTGAGTCGGGTCCGAGACGCAACGAATTGACAGTAGATCATTCGTTGTGTGACCTTCAAGCTATCACGATTTTCAGATCTGACAAGTGTACAAGCTCTCCAATCTCTCCCAAGCTCTTTCTACTCTACCTTTCACAGTTGCTATTGGCAATCTAACCCATCACACCTTTCCTGTTCTATCTTGCGTTCTGGCCGAGGTATCTCATCCCTAAGAGAGGCTGCAATGGAGCTTTCCTCGTTGCCTCACAGTCCAACTGAAGACGATGGCAAAACTGCTTCATCTCAGGCTGGTGCACCTTCAGACGATGTGAAGTTCTTCACACCAAGGAACGATTGTCTCTCTAATGTCAATACGTTCGGCCCAGCCGCCATGAGCTTGCAGAGTCAGTCGAGCAGGGACAACAAACGAAAGGCTGCTCAGAGCATTGTGGAAGTCAGTGATACTAGTCAAGACCTAGGCACATCCAAGAGGCTGAAGCTTGAGGCTATGAGGATCAAGTCGCCTCAGTTGCCTGGGGATAGATCACTTCTTCCCTCTGGAATATGGCATCGAGTTTTCGCATTTCTCCCCCCTAGGAGCTTGGGTACCTTGCTACGAGTTAACAAGCTTTTCAACGGGTATCTTGATTCTCACTCCGCTTTCGACAACACTGCTCTTTACCCGGAAAATGCGAGTCTCTTCAAGCCAATGAAACCAGATACAATCTGGCAGCAGTCAAGGAGATTGCACCATCCCAGAATGCCCTCTCCGCTGGGGAATCGTACTGAACTCGATATGTGGCGGCTATGCTGCACCAAAATCTGTCAATATTGCGGTGTTACAAATTCGATTGATCAACAACAAGAGAATGCTGATCCCTGGCGTCCAGGGCCTGGAGTGTATGGTCTGGCAACTGTATTTGCATTTGGCGTCACCTGTTGCGGTCCCTGTCTTTTGAAACATTCTGTGAAGGTCTGTTTGCTGCTTGAATCTCGTCATCTTTCGTCTACAAACTAAACGTTCCATAGGAGATCGACCTGTTACTTTCTTCCATAACCCCATCATCCCTCATCCCAGCACTCGCCTCTGTCTTCGTCACACCCGAACTGCAGGCCATTCCATCGAGCACCTTGGAAACCAACGTGGGCGATAACAAGCTGGAGACTACAAAATTATACTCAACCTCCAGCATCACTGCCGCCAAGGAACAGCTAAACGTGGTTCAGAGCCTTGGGACAGCAGCTGTCGAAGAGTGGCTCAAGGGACTAGGCGCCCAGGGTAAAGAACACAGAATTGATGCATCACGATGGGAGAAGTGGGCAGCGGCTGGCGGTCTGGCGCAAATGTGCCGGAGCGTGCAAACTATGGGAAACGGGAGTATTGATGAACTGGCGCAAGACCAAGATCACGAACCACGAAAGTCCCCTCAAACTTCTTTAGAGGACCGAGATTCCGAAGGCCGCAGTAGGTCAGATAAGACCCACGAAGAGGCTGCCGCGCGGAAGGCATTACGGCGTGCTGAAATCGAGCGGCGCGCAATGTTACTCGACCCTCCTCTGCCACCCAACGTTGTTGTCCACATGCCTTCTTTTCAGGCAGCCATACAAATCACGGCCGCCTTGGACGAGAATGCGTGGAATACGCTGAAGCCCAAATTGCTGTCTCAACGAGCCGATGCCGAGAGGAATATCAACAGGGGTCTTACTGAATCTCGGAGCTCCAGCATTGAAACGAAGGTCGAGACAACAAGAGAAGTGACAGATCAAGACTGGGACGATATCCAAGGTCCGGTACGAGCGCGAATGTCAAAATATGCCGACGAGATCATCCGCGGTAGCTGGAATAAGGGTCGCAAAGTCAACAAGGAGAATAGCCCACGTTTTGCAGCGGGGGTCCTCCTATCCGTGCGGTCAAGATTCTACGCCGATGTTGCGAAAGACGCTGCGGATGCTATCGCAGCAGGGCGGCAGCCTGTTGTTGATCCCCAAGGTGGCCCCTTTACACAGAAGCTCACTCTGGAGAACATGAAGTGGGTGTTTGATATGAAGATCAAACAGCATACCGAGTCGTATAGGAAGGAGTTGTTTCTTTGCAATGGTTGCGAAAGTCATAGGCTCTACGGATTTGAGGGGGTCATACAACACTATGCCGCAAAGCATACCAAGGCCCTCAGTCTCGGCAACATTGTTGTTCACTGGAGAGCCGAATGGCCAGAGCAGCCCATCTTCAAACCCAACGGCCGATCGACCAAAGGTTCTCAGCAAGCCGCAGGAAAGGGAACCGCCCAAGGTCATGCGGCAACAGGACCCCGGCCACCTCAAGGTCATGATACTCTTAGTCGGAGTGGCAGTCTCCTACCTAGCCCTGTGCACCGTTTTCCGTCTGACCAAGTTCCGCCCCTTTCCTATCACGCACCACAAGCTGCCCCGTACAATCCGTTACCAACATACAGTACGGATGCCAGCATACCGCGTGCGCCCTACCTACCGCCGAACTTTGGGCCGTCTGGAGCCCCCCAATTTTATCCTGTGGCATCTCCTAGCTTTGGACCCATACTCTCTGGCCCACAAGAGCAACCTCCGAACATGCTAGGAGCACCATATACTGGCCAACCGCATAGCACTCTTCCACATCAAGGCAATCCTCAGCCACCGTCTGCTACACCTCAAGGAATGCCCTTTGCGTCATCGTACACCACTCAGTTGGAAAACTTGGCTCGGATAGCGAGAGACATTTGGAACTCGCTTAGCACAACCAGGGACTTACCTGGGCCTTTGAGAGTATACATCACTATACACCATGTGGTCAAACGTTTCTGGCACAAATTTGGCGAGCCTCCCTTGTTGCGGATGTTTAACGATGGCTTATCAAACAACAAGGCTATGCGTCCAGTTCGCAATATCAACGGACTGAGGTGCAGATCCTGTACATTGGGTCTAGGGCCACCAGTCAATCCAGAACGCACCATGTTCTCGCTCCCGCAGCTCGTCAATCACTTCGAAAACCAGCATATCGGATTGCAGCAGGTCGGGCACAGGAGTGGGCCAGGCCTCGATTGGACACAAGATATGATCCTTATGCCGGATGTATCAGAAATTCCTGACTTGAAAGCCATTATTGGCGGCAAGGGACACAAGTTCAACATAGTCAATGAAGCAGTCCCCTGGGTCTTCAATAAGCCCAACGGACCCACACAACAATCTGGGGCCGCATGGCCTTTAGGTGGGATGGTACGGCCCAGCGATTCAGATCGAACCACGGATGATACTTGGCACACCTATGCCACGCATGCAGATGCTTCCAGTCATGAACGCAACCCCTGGCATGGTCCTGAAGCCATTCGAGAATCAGCGATCGTGGGTCAAGCGCAACAACGCCGAGACACGCAGCCGTCAACGGAAGATTATAATCGAAGATCCGCAGCGCCCCCGTATAAGCCACTGGTCACTCCTCACGAAGCACACGAACCAGGACGCATCCTTCGGGTCTCAAACATTGACCCTTGCCGACAAAGCTCTTGGGGCGCTTCTCCGACAGAATTTGATCGAGAGGGCCGCACCATTTACTTTGACAGTGGGCATTCTGCAGGTGGCTACAAAACGGATCATTACATGCCGTCAGGCTACTTCCCAAACCGTACTTCAGCATTGCCCGACGAAAATCGCCATGGGTACCGTGAGCAAAGTCGAGCCCCTGATCGAGTCCTGGTCGAACCTCGGTATGGGCATGGTAGTAGATACCCCGAAGGGGAGGAAGAGAGAGTCAATCGTACGTTGGATCAGTCGAGGTTGGTTCGGTCACGCCAATTACTCGACCGAGAGCAACTGTTACCGCAGGACACAAGGCCTGGCCCAGCAAGATATGCCCCGGTAATTCCTCATTCTTCAAGGGCTGCTGAGCTGGATTCTACACGTTCATCAGCGGGGGATCCCGATGACTTTAGCTTGACTGCTGCTCTCGAGTCGCATCTTGCTCAAGATCGCGACGCGCTGGCTCGGGTACCCAAGGCTGGGCTGCTGGAGCGCGAGGTAGTTCGTCAAGAGCGCCGATCCACAGCGCGCGACGGACCCCCATCGGACTTTCCCAATTACCCTGAACAACGACACATGGAAGTAGAAGTTTTCGATGACGCTCGCCATGGACACTCCACGCAATACATGGCAGAATCGCATGGATCCCGTCACACCGGACATGCTTCTGAGGTGTCGACGTACTACCACAGCCCAGCGGTCCCTCAAAATTCAGGTCGGAGCAGCGACAATCGCAGCACAACGCGCTACGCGAGCGCGACTCGCCCTCAGTCTGCAGGTTACGAGGAGACTTATGAGATTGTGCACGTACGAGATGCAGAGGGAGAGTACATCGTTCGTCGGCCGATTCTACGAGAGCGAGAAACGCATCGGGTTTTGTACGAGGGTGACACTCATCACCATCAGAACAGAGGCTCATACTCACACCGTAGTCACGATGCTCTGTACGGCTCGATGGACCAGACTCCTATTCCTGGCGAGCGGCGAGATGCTTTCTAAATGCACGAAGCTTGCACTGCAGGAGCCCAATTCATGATTGCTCCATCATCGTTTGCAGAATATGACTCAAACAACCCAGCGTCCATGTCAGATCCCGGCGCTAAAAGACCATCAGAGTACTAGCCAGACAATGTACCTCTTTAATGGGATAGGAATAGCATAACACAGTAGTCAAATGCAGCCGAATAGCACCATGCTCTACTTATTTTCCTCGTACCCAAATCTGTTTTTGTTTCACGAAAACTGAGCATCAAGCCTGACTCCATGTGATTGCAACGGATAAATGGGCAAAGAATGCTTATACAGGAGGCGAATCTCTCAAGGTCGGCATTCACATTCTCTGGGTGCATTATAATATACCCATAGCTGAATATTAGTCTGACTTTATTGAAGTTGAGGATCTTCTATTACACACTTCTTCGACACAAAAAGGTACATGATAGGCACCCAGCAGACTGAGATGAGGTACAGCACAACGATCATGGCATCGTTTCTCAGACATCCAAGAGCCTTTTCCATCGGAAACGCCCCCTAACGAGACCTCGCCTTTTATCCGCCTGACAACCCCGAGAGTGTATATCCGTGTGCGCAACACACACTGAGGTAGGAAGTGGGGAAGAAAGAGAGAGAAAAGGAGGTAGGAAGAGGCAGAGAGATACAGAGAGATAGAGAGGGCGTTAATGCAAACATGTGGCGCCAGTTTCGCCATGTCTGTTTCTTCTTTTCCAACACGTATCTATAACACTTCACCAATGATCTTGGCCGCCTCCCTGTACGTCTGGAGCAGCTTCTCGCACTTCTCACGCTCCTTCTTGACACCGTCATCTTCGTACAGAAGCTCCTCAAACAGCGCCTCCTTGTAAAGCTCGCTGACAAGTCGGTTCTGGACTACATCCTTGCAGTGGTTCACCAACAGGTGCATGACAGCCTTGGGAACTTGATCCGCAATCGACTCGCGCACGATGTTGAAGTAGGAAGAGATAAGTGCTCGGATAAGCTCTGTCTCCATGGCTTCTCGTTCTGTCATGGCTGGCTCGCCACTAGCCGTACCCTGGAGATTGTATTAATACTCATCAATGAGAGAAAAGGAAGAGAGAAACCTACGAAGAGGGAGCCGTAATCTATGGATTGCTGGGGCTTGCCAAATTCCAGCTCGTCCCGGGACGAAGCTTGTGCTGGGGCACGCAAAGCCACTTTGTCTTCAGCTCGCCGGATGCTCTGTGAAAATGTGGGCTCAGAGCTCTGGCTAACGTGCCGAGCGATGGAGGAGTTGGGCGATGATGCTGCTCCAATCGCCGAAGCACCATCCTTGCCGAAGAAGTAGGTCAAGAAAGAGTCGCGCGCGCCGCCCAGGCCCTTATCATTGAATCTTGACGGAGAAGCTGATCTTGCTCCGTTGAGCGCCGCATTCAGACCGGTAGTGCCGTTCTCCCGTACGCCGGGTGACAAGCTGCGCGCGCCCTTAGTTGCCTGCTTCCGAAGAGAATTCGATTCGGCCTTTTCGATGACAGCCGGCTCTTCCTCCTCGCCCTCCGGGCCTTCGGTGCCATTAGCGCCCAACTCCTTGAGACGCCTCTTCTCCCGTCTTTCTCGTTCTTCCTGAATCAAACGCTTTCGCTCCCTCTCCTGTTTATTGCTCACAACGTGACTCATGGCAGCGGCGGCACCCAGGAAGTTGGGATGGTTAGTGTTGATGTACGCTCTTTGGATCGAAATCAAAGACTCGACATAACCGGAGGTCGGCCCTAAGCGTTCTCGCAGCAAGTCTGACACGACCTCAATCAGCTTAGCTTGCAGTCTCGGGTATCGAGACAGTTCAGTTGAGCCGCAGGTGTGACAAATCTTGATGAGCTCCTCGTAAACAAGCTCTACACATCGCTGACTAGGAATTTCGAGAAGCTTGATCTGAGGCTTGACGAGAAGGTCAAAGGCCATTTCGGGTACGAATAGACTGGGACGGGGACCGGTGGAATTGCGAATGGCTGTTCTAATATCAAGGGCCGAAAGATTCGAAGTCGGGTCGATGGATTCTAGGGACATGCCAAAGACGGAGTTGAAGATGTAGTAGATACGAGCGCCGCCGCAGAGCTCCTTAGTCGATATTTCAGTCGACGTACCGTCAATGGATGAGATGAATGATGTGGCAAAGCGTGTCATTTGCTGCAAGATGAGGGATCCACGGTGCTCCTTGCCGCTAAAGTGCATATCGCCATAGCTTGCCAGTTCCTGTTGAGTCTGTCCCATGAGAGTGTTAAGGCGAGCTTTGATATCCGGCATGCGCTCGCGAATGTGAGCCATCAGAGTCGTATTCAGCGTCTTGGCCAGGTATTGAGTGCCGCATCGACTAGCAATGTTCCGGTAGGCGGGGTGGTGCCTGAAGAACTCAGATTCAGCCTTGAGAGCCTCCTCCATGGGTTTGGCGCCCTGAATGTCCTGCTGAGAGCGGTTGACAACACCGATGAACCCAAGTTTCAAAGGGTACACGCGGCCAGATAGGATATCCAATGCGTTCGTACCATGATCCATGAGGTCCACCTTGGTAAGCACGCCAATCGTCCTCCTACCAAGAGGGTCGACATGTCGTGCGAGTTTAAGAGCCTCCGAGTTCACAATATCAACATTGGCAGGAGATACGGCAAGGACGATACTGTTCGGCTTGGCGATGTACTCGGAGATCAGGTTCCGCGTCTGCTTTTCGATGTCTGTAGGTTGATCGCCAATAGGAACCTAAGAGCTTGTGTTAGAGTATGCCAGGCGTTTGACGCTGAGCACTGAGGAAGGCAAGCATGGTGGCATACCTTTGTGAGGCCGGGAAGATCAACAAGTGTCAGGTTGAGCACATGTGGCGAGTAGATCTTGAGGTTAATGGGCTGTCTGTTGATGCCCTTGTTGTTGCCCGCCACTCGTGCTGTTTCGTTCTCGATCTCGCGCTTTACATCCGAAAAGTCGTTGAAGCGGCGGTTTGGGATATGGTGGAACTCGGCCCATTCGGATCGTCTGGCAAGGTCGGGAGACCTGTAGGGGTCGGAGGAAGGGTCGAGGGCACTCTCGTCCTCAGATACGTTGATGAGTTGTAGGATCAGGGGTCGTCGAGTACAAATGCCACTGCCGCGGGGCAGGAAGTCACGACCGACAATGTTTTCGAGGACGGAGGATTTTCCGGCTGACTGCGAACCAACTACGACCTGCTCAAATGTTAGCGATTGGACGTCTAGACAGCTCATGCACCATGACTAGACGACGTACAATTTGGGGGAGATCGAGCGAGTCACTGCCAATAGTATTAAAGACCAGGTCTTGCAATTTGTTGACAGTGCCGAGAAGGTCGTCTCCGAGGGACGCCATGGTGATTGGGTGACGCTAGGAGGTAGAAACTCCCACAAAATCGGGTTGGAAGAGGTGGTGGTGGTGAGGAGTGAAGCACCCGTGGATGTCGAGGAGAGCTTCGAGAGGCGAAATAGTGGAAGCTCCTGCACACGGCGAAAGGCCAGGCCGAACGGGGAGTCTGCAGCGCAGGGCGACGCAAAACAAGGCAGGGCACCTAGTGCAGGTGAAGGGAGCAAGCGCAGGCTCGTCGGGAGTGATCGGCTGCCTCTAGAGGTTGAGGGCGAGGCAGAAGATGAAGAAACTACAAAATTAAGAACGAAGCCCCTTCAGGCGAGATGGAATTTTTGGGCGAAGGGGGGCTTTGCTCGAGCCGATGCGCGTAGATGCTCTCCGGCGTGTCGTTCAATTTCGAGAATTCATGCGCGATCCACCATGTCGCCTACGCAGAAGGCTCCAACAAACGACAAGGCACGTAATGCTTAGCTTGGTACAGTGGAGGAGATGGTTCCTAGTATTAGCTAATACACATCCATGGATCCGCTAGTCCCTGACACCTCAGGCTCGGTTACATCACTATCAGTACCTACCTTACTCTGTATGAGCCAGCATATTCCAAAATAAGCTAATTCAGAGGGTGAGGAAAACAATTATTGCGGTGAGGCTTTTCCCAAGAAGATGAAGAGAAAGATATCTTCCATAACCTTTCCCCCCCTTCTATCGCGAAGAGGCTTTGGGTTTTTTTTTGGTCTTTTCTTCCTCCCTGAATTTGTATGCAGGTAGCCGGCGGTTCCATCGGTGCGCGCACTGGCGAGTGTTCAAAAGTAAGAACGGATGCATCAACGAAAGTTTCCTCTCTGCCGGAATCTTCCAGTAGCAACACCAGATAGATGTAAGAGAAGACCTACCTATTGGATTTTGATTCTGTGGTTTGTACCTATTCGTACGCCTTCGCCCCTCAGCTACCTACCGTAGATTGCGTAGCTAGTTAGTTACCTTGGGCGAGGGTTTTTCTTGAGGTACTTAGTGACAGGTGCTCTGGAAAAGCCATAGCGTCCCGTCGTAGACTCTTGGGTGTCACTGGGTGCCAAGGAGACTTTAAGTTGCTGTTGGTACCTCAGGAACCTCACAGAATCGACCAGTATCGTTCCACCCGCCTTTGTCGGACCTCCTTCTACGTAGCTATTGATTCCACTACAGAGCCAGCGCATGTGAGCCTTTCCGCAACTTGAGCAAAAGAGGCAATCGAGAACCGCATACGTGAGGTAGGCGATACAAGCATTCAATACCTGCACAGGTAAGTCAAGCTGCGGCGCCGTTCTGCCCGAGCCCCGGACACTCAGATTTCTCACCCTCAATGCTCAGGCTCAGATAAAGATATCCAGGCACAGCAACTTCTTCACATCAACACAGCAGCAACTTCTCAAGACAACCTATCAGCTAGAACTGTGTTGAATCATTTGTCGTTATCGAATCTCACCCGCGTCATCTTTACCATGAGTCAACTTGGTGGTCCAGGTTCTCGACAAGCCAATGCCAAGCCTATTCCGTTCGTACCTGACCCGGCCCTTCTTCACAACAGCCAATGCGATATGTAAGGTGGTGCAGTGCAGGCTAACGTGTGACAACCATTTGTTTTGTTACCCAGTCCTCAACGTGGCAGTTTCCCACTTGATCATGATGGTGAGTTGCGAAATGTGTGCCCCAGTCGATTGCGTCTTTGAGGTCCTTGGCCTGCTAATACGCACCCAATCAGGCGAATGCAAGCATGTTATAGCTACTTATCTCGAGTGCATCAAGAAAGTACGAGGAGTGAACGACGCTGAATGCCGCGACCTTGCTAAATCCTACCTTGCATGTCGGATGGATCGGTAAGTCTGCTTTTCACTATGCGACTGTGGACGAAACGACGGACGACATTCTGACTACTGTTGACTTTGGCCTCAGAAACCTCATGGCCAAGGACGAGTTCAGAAATCTGGGTTTCGACAATGGACCGAAACCAGCAAACGACCCAAACGGTCTGGCTTTAAGCCAAGCTCAAGCCCAGGGAAGTACTGGCAAGGACAAGGACGCAAAGCCCGGCGAATTGCGATGGTAATATCACGGGTCCTTGGAGGCTCTTCAGTCGATTGCTCCTCTACATGTACATTATTCACGGAATTCATACCAAGAGGGCATTTGTTTGCATTGCAACGAATTTGTGGGGGTCGTCAACGACGTGGTTGCTTGACAACGCAGATGTGTGAGAAATTGTCAATATTTGAGCCATTATGCGCGGCAAAGGAAGTCATGCACTCTAACAACGGACCCAGTAGCACTACGCTGGGGGGCGTCGCCCTGTGCATGGTAAAGCCCCAGGCAAGGGACGGCATGTTTGTTTACGCAGAGGCTGCACTTGGTCTAAGGCACTACTTACTTTTGTTACTTTTGACCCAGACCGACGCGCTTGCTTTCGGGACAAACTGGTTAAGACATGCTGAATTGCCCAAGATCTCAATTCTCAGATATTTAAGGTAGGTATGCAGCTATCTGATGGGGCACAATGGCGTATACAACTGCTCCTGAGGGCTGTGTGGAATACAAAACATGAGACGTAAGGTACATTCAGCATGGAAAAGATGTTCACATAGTGGGGCTTAAAAGAGGGAATGTGGTTTCTTTCAAAGAAGTCGACACAGGATCACGGGCATAAGCCATCATCTGTAGGCGTCTGCCACTGTGGAGCTGTCATTGTGGTTGTTTCCCTGAGAAGTGCTGGGAACATGCACGTCGCGAGGGGCTAACCTGGAAGGGCATCAGGTCACACTGCACTGAGGTGACTCCCTCAAGTACCGGGTGTGTTCCCGACGACGGCACAGAGCCCCCTGCGTACCTAGGTAGTGTAGCCGGGCAGGTCAACTTAAGCTCACCCAACCCCGTCGCCCTCGATGTTTCGTTGTCGCAGAAGAGAGAGTCATCGTTGCCCCGACAACATCCCACGCCAAATACCTCCCCTTACCTTAGCTACGGCTGGATGGCTCAAGTATAACTTCATCGCCGTCAATCGGAAAACCCCTCTCTCAGAGTGTCACTAAAAGACTAAGTCTTGCCCTTTCGTTCATAAGTAGACGCATCATCGTCATCTATTCATCTATTCGTACATCCATAGCCAAGCGAATCCACTAAACCTTCACCGCATGTTCCCCAGGCACCGCATCAATCTTCACCCTGTTCCCACTGCCTACTGCCTACCGCCACCACCATTTCCTGTCTCCACTGCTTGATCGACGACGTGCTCGCCGCACGCCAGCTCTCCAGCATGCATCGCAGAAAGAGCACTGAGAAGACGAGAAAGGTGACTCCTCCATCGCCAAGCTACATGAATAACGAACAATTCGGTGAGAAATGCTTCTGAGTGCTTCTCTTTTTCTGCCTGTCGTGAATGCTAATCCCAACTTCTTAGCTGCCTACTTGGCAAACCTCCGATCCAACAGAGTCGCCCGCCCCGGCGGAGCAAGGCCACTGCCGCCTTCCTCTTCAAGCATAAGATCAAAACGCCCTTCAATCGAACATAGCGTTTCCGAACCCCTTCCACGAAGCGAAAGTCCTGCACTCTCCACTCCAAGTTCTATCAATGTACCATCGCAACCGCATCCCCCTTCTGTCAACGCCAGTGTATCATCCCGTCATTCCATTCCGAGCATCCAAGGACGGGAGTATCAACCTTACCGCCCAACATCACCTCTGAAGCCTTCTCAGGTGGTGCCGACTGCCACCTACATGGAAAGAGGACAGCGATGGATGGAAAAGGAAGAGGCCGTGTCACTTCGACATGCCATGGAAGACATGTCCATTAAGAACGGCGAACAACCCGTCGAGGATGAACCCGTGGAGACGCCAGACGACGAAACACGTATCTATAATGCTGCACTCGACGAGGCCTCAGAACTGGTCTGGCGGCATCAGAATGGAGTCCGCCCTCCTGACAAGGACGCACCGTATCGGTACAAGCCTCACCTCAGAAAGAACAGTTATGCTCATGCTCGCACCGCAAGCGTGGGCAAACATGCCGACGGCGCCCATCCATCCGGCCTCGCTAGGGACAAGTCCAGGTCAGTTTCTGGCAGCTCTACCGACAGCGATGGTCACTCTCGGCGAAGTCGACCTTCCTTGGCTTTGTCACGGAATAGCGTTGGGGGGGAGAGTCAGAGTCCCGACCGGCCTTCGATGGACTTGGGAACTTCAGGGCCAGCCGGTGCCAGACCCCTTCCGAAACCCAGGAGCTCAGGGCAGCGTCGCAGCAGTATGAAGCGGAACATCAGCGGCGAAGTTCAAAGGCCATTTTCCGGTGATCAGATTTGGGAAGAGCCAGAAACCAATGCCCGGGAAGACAAGGCCAGGACGAAGCCAGCGTCGGCAGCAGACTTACCTCTGGTTGACAAACCAGAGAACCCCCAGAATCAAGTCCGATTTGCTACAAACTCACAGGCGGACCGCGTTGGACCCTGGAAACCCAGGTGCAATGTCGAGATTCAACGGAACCCACCGTCTCAGTCACGCAACCCACAGTACACCATCAACACTTCGGTTCCGAAGCCTGTGGTGGACGACCATATCCCCAAGAAGAACGGCATGGAGATACGCAGTGAAGATATCCGAGGGGCCACAAGTATGAAGCTGAAGGACCGCAGCGCGAAGTTGCCTACACCCACGGCTGTCAGTGATCGCCCTGGTCGGCCGATTGTAAGCTTCGACTCGAAGTGGAAGGCTCCAGACGAGAGAACTGATGCTAGGCCAGGAGCCGCGAGCCAAAACAACCAGCCGATGGAAATTCCTTCTATCGTGGTGGCGTCGGAGGAGCCTCCGTCGGACAGAACACGCAGCAACCCGATCGTTCCGGTCATAAATATTGACGGGACAGATGAGCCACCTGCTTCTAATCCTGGTATTCCTTTCATAGTCACTCCCGACGACGATGAATCTTCGAATCCGAAGCCGCGGCCCTTGCCTGACCCCAAGACAGCATCCAGAGGGCACCCTTTCCGGCGCCCGCAACGTCACTGGTCACCAGCCCCTGCCACTAGCAAACACTCAACCGCTTTGTGTCACGAATGCGCATTCCCCATTGAAGGTAGATTCGTCGCTCTGGGCGGATCCTCAGAGCGCTTCCACCCCCAGTGCTTCAGCTGCTTTGCTTGTGGTACTGGTCTAGAAGCCTTGGAGATTAGCCCAGAGCCAGAAGCTCATCGCCAAGAGCGCCTCGACAGAATTCAACGTCGCGCCCATGGCGAGGTGTTGGAAGAAACGCCAGGCAAGACCATGGCCGAAGACGGTGACGAGCGCCTACGTTTCTTCTGTCATCTTGATTGGCACGAACTTTACGCACCGAGATGCAAACACTGCAAGACACCCATTCTCGGGGAGCACGTTGTCGCTCTGGGAGAGCATTGGCACTACGGACACTTCTTTTGCGCGGAATGCGGCGATCCATTCGAGAAAGGCATGACTCATATCGAAAAGGACGGGTATGCGTGGTGTGTCAACTGTCAGACAAAGAGGACGGAGAGAAGGGCGCCCAAGTGCAAGAAGTGCAAGACTGCTGTTATCGGACAATACATTCGGGCGCTGGGCGGTGAGTGGCATGATGAGTGTTTCCGCTGCGCTTCTTGCCAGGGCGGTTTCGACGACGGCCAAATTTTTCCTAAAGAGGTTGGTGACAGGGTCATGGTACTATGCACAGGATGCCGCATGATAGAACTCAAGGCATAACGATGTAAACGAGCAGACTGCAGAATTGGGCGTTGTTTTGAGTTGTCTAGGATAGGAGTTAGGATCAAGGAATAGGGGAAGCGTTTGCGCTTTTGTTGTCGATTAACATTCTGTATTGTTTTCAGCTTGAGTAATGGCATAGCGTTTGGCTGGATAAGGTACTTTAGGGGGAAAGGTGAAGAACAAAATAAAGTGGTAAAAGTCATAATCGTCATTGACTGTCTTCATATGGCCCTATTAGGAGAATCCGTTGCATCCATGTACGCCATTTGCGACAGCCGAGGCCTTCTCAAGAAGCAAGAAATCCATCGCTCCTTCGACTACTCCCACCATGTATTTTCCCGTTATTCTTGCCTCCATTTGACTACAGGGAACCGCCGACCTGCTCCTGGTGCACCTCGAGAGTGTCTCCATCCGCCATCTCGAGCTGATAGTGCCACTCGCGTTAGTATCGCGTACAATGTCGGAGGCAGCCGCGTCGCCAACGCTTACCGTGTCTGGGGTATCCGTGGGTTGGACACGCTGGCCCTCGAAGAGGAACCGAACAGAGTTCATAGCCTTGCCTTGTCTCTCGCAGAAGGCCGTCATAAGCTTGTCCAGCTTGGTCGAGCGCTTGATCTTGAAGAAGACTTCATTGTTGTTGTCGGTAACCTTGATGTTCAGGTGCTCGACGGCGGGCGGAGCATCTTGACCGCCAGCAGACGGGCTTCCGTTCTCGTGTTCGCCAGACATTTCGTGACTATCGCTGACAGGGTAAAAGTCAGCAACGGCACAAGATTGTCGTGGGTCGTTTGAACTTTGGAGGGGTCAACGGGAGTGGGTTGATAGAGGTCGAAGCAGGGATATATTGCTGATGGGTTGGTGTCCACCTACTTTGCGCTGCAGGGCGTATTCGCGATAGTGTGAGAGATCGCACGTGTGTGGCTGTGAAAGCTCGAGAGTTGGGCTTGTGAAGAGCGCGGGAAAACAAACACGCGATATTGTGCAGAAGGTGACTTGTAGAGTTGACGAAAGGCGGAAGGTGGGGAGCGGTAGTGGGAGGCGCAACTGAGTCCGAAAGACAGGCGCTCTAGGTACCTACAGAGGTCGGCAGAGACACTGGGCGGAAGTGGGATGGGAGGCGATTGATTGGACAAAGTGGAGCCTGGATTTTCTAAGGCTTACCTTAGGTAGGTATTACCTTCTCACCCCAGATGTCGCCTGCCTAAGCCTCAAGGTGATAGTGAAACTTAAGTCAGATACCTTCTTTCCTACCTACACCAACACCTCAATTTAGGTACCTTACCTTACCTTAGTTTTCATCTGAATATTTGCCCCTTCCCAGAGTTTCGTGGAACTCATACACGTAGGTCGGTATTCGAGCATCCTCCTTTTTGTCTCCCGTCATTGCATGATTCAGGTGCTCTATCATTAATAAGCATATTTGAGAAACAATCACGAGGTTGAGACTCAATGCCCATGCTGGCTCTTTGCTAACATATTCATTGTCCACCAGGACCGGTCGCAACTTCGACGTTTGGCCTTGAGCAACGCTGCCGTTACCGATCGTCATGGTAGACTCTCCGACACCGCGTCGTGTTACGATGTAGCTGCTGACAATCCAATGTAAGGGTCAGAATGAGGACCTGAAGGCGAATCCGCCCTGCCATCCTCGTGCTGTAGGTCCATTATCCAACCCATGAATCAACTTAACAGATCCAGCGCTGACCTAGTTCCGCGCAGTGCGCTATTCAGGGTAGGTCTTGATCATACAATTCTCCATGGCTTCGTTACGATTCAAATACCAGGTGCAAGGCTGAGTCGGCATTATTAAATCTGACTTGGGCTCGCAGATTGCTTAACCAAAAACGGGTACAAGGAGGAGAAGTGCCAGTCGGTGATTTTGGCTTTGTACGAATGTTGCGAGGCTTTTTACCAATCAAAAGGAGACAGCGCTACGTCGGCGAGCTGTCCCAAGCCAGATCTGCTTCGACTGAAACTGTCGAGAATACGTGAGGAGTCGCGCGAGGCCGTTTCCCAAAAGTAGCCAAAGGGATGCTGAAATGTACACTCTTCCATAGATATACGTTAACCCGAGTAGAGAAATCTGGCAACATTCAAGAAAGAGGGAATTCTTCTAGGCATTCGTTGAGCGCGCTGAGAGACCCCGTAGGATCTGAACAAGCATTGAGTGCTTATTCCGAGACTCTAATACAAAAGCCTTGACATTGAAGAAGAAAGAGAGAGAATATTCAAAGAAAATTTCCAACTGTGTGTTGATAAAGGCTGCTAAAGCGGGTCCATACTGTGTTTTTACATGTATTTACACAGTCAATCTCTGGTCTGTCCAAGGCATAGGTCTGGAATAGGTATGCACACAGTGTTTACTCCTGCCCAAAGTTTTGACGCGACGCGCGCATCTAGGTACTGCGCGCACGGGCCAGCTAGGCGCTAGCTTGCCTTTCGCCTGGGACGCCTGTCGCTCCCGGCGCCGCAAGGTGAGGTACCTTACCTTAGACGCCTCATTGAGCTGCCAGCTGGTTTGTTTTCATGATTTTTTTCCCGGTAGGATGGGAGGTCTGATCAACTATCCCAATCCCACTATTCGAGTCTGTTCCTCCAGCCTGTTTCCTATTTCCTCTATCCTCAGAGTCGATACGTGGGAACTCCTTCAATCTTGTCGAGGGCCTGGGAAAGTTTCTGCGCGCAAGGGCTTCTTAGGTTGCAGCTAGTTACATCTTTGGCGCTGCAAAGCACCTTGCAAAGTCATTTATGCCGCAGCATCCATGACTTGATATCTCCCCGGCCTGGAAACACAGACGCCCACAATCATTGACAGATTGTAAGCAGACGAGTCACTGCATAGTCTCACTTCGTCCGCAAGTTCTGTTTTGGCTAATCACCACCCACTAGGATCGCATCGGGACTCCATATTTACCCTGGTCCCATGCGCAACCTTGCCGACGACCAAAGATCGACCATTCCACATTGAAGTTAACGAGGCGACCGGATACCTTCTGTTCCTTGTGCGCAAACTTCCGATCAGTATTCCCCTAGATTCCGTTCCCTTCGACAACAAATACATTCCCGAAAATGGACGGAATCGGGCCTGAAGTTGAGGTGTTCGCGAACATCCTCGACGATTGCCTGGCAAACCAAGGCACCGATGAGGACAAACGCGCTAGGGTCTTGGGGCTCGTAAACGCATACCACGATTATGCCGCCGAAAAGCTGTCGCAGCTGCGCAAGCCACGCCGTCAGGGCTCAATTGGCGACAATGAGATGGACCTGGACGATGAAGAAGAGGCAGAGGCTGCGGCAGATTCAGAAGAGATTCGAGTATGGGAGCAAGAAAGACAGACATGGGATCTCGTTCGTCGCCTTATCCCGCTGAGATATTCTGTTCGATCTTCGACGAACCAGGAAGCTACGTACAATGGAAAAGATTTGTGGAGGGCATTCCTTGCGAACGACCAGTTGGCCACAGAGAGGAAGACCATTCTCGAATGGTTACAACAAGGCGCGAGAGCTGGCCCCGACATCGACGACCTCGTACGAGATCTCCAGCAAAACGCTGACAGAGGAGACATCATCGCTCACGGTTGGATACACACAAGGTCTGCCATCAAGTTGCAGAAGAGTGTGATTGGTTCTTCACGCCCGCTTGATGTGCATTTTCCGGAGGTCGCACGCTCTCTAGTCAACTCAGACAAGGCGCCACTTGTTGCCGAACTAGACCCAGACTCTGTGATCAGACAGGGTCGCAAGTTGGAGCCACAGGATGAGTACTTTGAGAGGGCTATTTGGGTAGGCTGCTTCCAGCTGCTTCGAAGAGGCTGTACTGTGGAGACTACGCGGGAGTGGTGCTTGGAGAGGACGGAGGTCTGGAGGGCTGTATCCATGTCCGCCTTACCTCTTGCAAGTGACCACGGCGAGACCACGCTTGTCGACGACCCTTCAGCGCTTACTCTGTGGAGACGCATGTGTTTTGCTCTTGCTCGCCAAGGAGGTACCGATGATATTGAGAGAGCAGTATATGGGGTGTTGTCCGGAGACATCCCCAGCGTGCAAAGAGTATGCCAGACTTGGGACGACTTCATGTTCATGCACTACAACGCTCTGGTTCGCACGCAGTTCGACACTTTCCTACTCAGCCAATGCTCCCCGGAAGCATCGGCAACCATCCGCTCATCATTCGCTGCTTTTGACGCAGTTCAGTTCCACGGCGATGCCGCCACGTTGGAGCAACGCCTGATCCGCAACCTTGAGACAAGCCCGCACACAAGCAAGGAAGCTCTGGAGCCTATCAAGGCACTACAAGCCGCCATTATCTCCAAAGACCTCCAGCGACATTTCTACGAGCAGGGTGTGGCCATCACACAGAAAGCGAATTCCAAGGAGGCATCTGCGCTCATGCCCGATCACAACTGTCGCAACGTCGACGTAGTGACGGAAAAGTTCGCCGACATCAAAAATCCCGATGGCCTGCGAATTGCTGTTCATGCACTCATCATCTTCGATACGCTTGACAAACTCGGCACTTTGAAAACAAATACCGTAACAATGAGCTCAGATCATGATCGTCGTGAATTGCAAGAGAACACGATTACGCAGTATATCAGCTTGCTCCGACTAGCAGGCTTGGAGGAGTTGATACCACTGTATTGCTCCAGGCTTCACCCATCGAGAGCCTTCCAAGTGTTAAGCACAAACCTACTTCCCATCACCGATAGCGAGGCTCGTCAAGAGCAGCTCTCCTTCATTCACAAAGCAGGACTGGACGTGGTGGATTTCGTCAAGGCACAACCACAGTTCTTGTTCCAGACCTTGGACTCCGATACTGCGCAAAACGATGCAATGCGGGAGTTCCAGATCATGGACGATGGCCCGGCGTCCTTGAAGTACGGGCGTTCCATCAAAACAGACTTCTTCGGGGAAGATCCCGAATCCATTGACGCGGTCGACGAGCGCTTGATCCGGTCAGTAGAATGGCTGCTTCTAGTCAGCGAGGCCTGGCCATATGTCTTTTCTATCGGCGTGGCAATTTACAAGCACTTTCTAAGTATGACCCTGCCTTTTCAAGATAGATGACGCCTATCAGCTAACTGGAACCCCATCGAACAGAGACCATGCATTTGAATGCTGCCAGAAGCTTCGCAAATCGTGTGCCATTCGACAGCATTCTGCGCATGCGCTCAAGCGACTTCCCTGAACAAGCAGAAGACGAACTCTGGTGGACATCAGATGGAGAATTCTGGGTCAACCAGCTCGAGGGCGCGGGTGCGATGGACCTCTCGCCAAGTCAAGTAGTATCGGACGCCAAGGTCTTACGCGAACTTGAGTGTCTCGTCAGAGCCTTGGACACAATGGAGACTGTCGCTTCCCTAGCGGAACTGTCAAGAGAGTATGTCAACCTGACCTTTGGCTACAACATCTTGCTAACCACTTGCAGGGACCCGTCTGTCAAACGAGATTTCTGGGCGAAGGTTGGCAACGAGGTCAAGGCGGCCAAAGAACACGTGCGACCGCTACTGGTTGACTGGCTGGGTGATCAAGGTAATTGCTACTTAACTCACATCTTCCAGATAACTAATCCGTTCGTGACAGAGGATCAAGACTTACAAGCGCTGCGGGAAGCATATCTTCCCGAGACGATCCTCGCTTACATCAGCACGCTCCATTTCGCCGGCACGACGCTGACGAGGGATAACTTTTTGGAGTGTATGGAGCTGGCGGCCACTATTGCGGAGAAGGGCTCCGATGTGGCAGAGTGCTTCGCCAAAGCTAAGCGAATGAAGGAACTGGTCGAGTGTTTTGCTGCCTGCAGCAAAGCTCTGGCCGTTGCATCGGGCGAGAAAAAGGCGGCCAATTCGAGTAGCAAGAAGCTACGGGAAATGGGATGGTCACGGGATCTTTGGTCCGTAAAGCACTGAATTGGGCAGTCTACTGGCGAGTCACAATGTTTGTTAGGAATAAGGAATGGGGATCTGAGGCCTCTACATGAGATTCAGCTAGCGCGTGGCTTACCGCTCACGAAGACTTCGGCCGGGCGTGATATGCCTCGAACACACCAAGGTCGTTCAGCTGCCAAGTTGATCAATGCAGGGAGGCGATAAATTACATCGAGACTTGCAGACTCACAAATAAAAGAGTATCACAGCAAAAAGTCTATTGAAAAAACTGCGTATTTCGTACCTCTTGAAGCCATTCTTGTGTTGAGTTCCTATTTACAATTGAGTATTCCGTACAGATATGTGTTTATGGGTATGATATCATAAAACGCAGATGTGAGCTTAACTATACAACATGTACAATTCAGTCACAATTTAGTTTTGATTGGTTAGTTTCATTCATCCGCTGTGGGGGCACCTGACAAGGTCCTTGCTTAACGTTGTGAACCTCGCACCCCTCTGCCTGATGAACCACAGCCACATTCCGTCTTGTAGAACCACCCCGCCCAACGAACGCTGACATCTCTGTGGTCGGAAGATACCTTGCCTTATACTTTGATCAGCCGACCAAGCGAGTCATTGGCCTGAAGATTTTCCTGGGCCTTGAGAATAAGGATCATCTTGTTGTAGTCTTTAATCGGCTGCGTGTTTATGTCCACATCATGCATGATCCTCCACCACCGGTACTCCCACCCAAGCCGGGTAGCCACGACACAAGTCGTATAGGCACGCCGGTTATGCTCAACTCGCCCCGGCACGGCAACGGTAACGGCACCGGGCCTGATGTGGAGAGTGCAGGCGGGAGCCGTTTGAACCAAGTCTTTCAGCCGGCCGGGCTCGAAATAGCCCGACCTGAGTCTGTGCCTGATCCGGGCGAACATTGGCTTCCCAAGGTGTTGCAAGACAAGGCGTACGTTCCTGGACATGGCAGCGGCATCACCTGCTGTTCGTTGTCTTTCTCCCGGCTGATGATGGTATTAGAAAACATGACCTCGCTGATATAGCGACCAATGTGGACCTGCTTAATGCCCTTGCACATGCACCAAGTACGATTCACCCATCTCTCTCGTCGTCTCATCAGGCCCTTCAAGCGGCCTTGACCGAAAACCTTGAGCTCGCGTCACGGCTTGTGGAACTCGAGGCTCGTCTAGCCCACCAGCGCTCCACGACTCAAGCGCAGCTTCTTTCAACACATGCGCTCGAGCGCCAGTGGCGGCAGAAGCAATCCGATATGGACCACGCGTTAGCACCCTTCTCACCGGCTGCCATGTACCAACGCCTGGGGCAAGGTGTCCATGAGCAGGCCTCGGTATGCCATGTCTTGGAGGAGAGCTTCATCGACGGAGAGGGAGATGGCGCGTATGCGTCGGAGAGAGAGACATTGGACTGGATCAAGAGGTACAGAGACGCCAAGGTACTTTATTATCTTCGTCAGGAGAGGAAGGAGCGGTGGGACGAAGGTCGCGTTGGTGGCTGGAGATAAATGAGTGCGATTCCAGTACCTGGTTCAGTGGAATGCTAAGTGAAGGTGGGAAAGGAATGAGGCAGTGGAAATCGCAGGAGGTGGTGATCCTCGCGGGTTGGAGCTAACCATTCGGCTGTATCGAGAAACGGGAACCAGCACAAGAGCACTACATCAATGGCATGCCGGCGGTTCTCTCTGCTGTTTTCTACTCTTGCTTCTCGATGGCGGTATTGGCGATGACAACGCAATGCAAAGGACCACGTCTAGCTAGCAGATATCTGAAAGAAACATTCTATGGAATACAAGAAGGAAAGAAAGTACGCAGGAGCAGTAGCCTACAAACTGAATGGTACTCGCAGAAATGGCTAGAAAATCGCTATGACGTGGAGCATACAATTCCTGTCTGTGTCGTTCTGTAGCCCGTCTACGAATGTATGCTACACACTTTCAGCTACTACTGTCGTTCCCCAGTTTCGCACACACACACACACACACGACATACCTCCAGGGGACATCACAAACCCCCTGACTGGGATCGTACTCAAAGTCGTTGAGAGTGGAAATGATGTTGGCCCAGAAGCGATCACTATCTTCAGGCGAAGCTGAAGGGACTCTTTTTCATCTCAGGACTGCGAGGGCTCATCGGGAGTGCAAAAAGTTCCTCCTCCTGGTCCTGTTCTTGCTGTCTCGGATGAAGATCAACCCCTGCGAGCATGGCGTCTAACGATGCCGAAGCTCCTAGGGACAGGTTACCAGTAGTCGTCTCCCGAGCAGGGTGCGAGAAGGAGTGAACGGCTATGTCATTGGGGACGGGCGAGAAAGACACAGGCTGAAGATGCGTGTTCTTGTCTGCGAGTCTCTAGTTAGTTATGCTTGGTTGATATGTTACGCAGGTTATATTTTGTGAGTCATCTCACCAGCCGAACCAGCAATTAAATCTGTTGCAGAAGTCGCGAGCTTCAGCCCCTTCAGCTTCTCTCCCAGTCGGCTACCGGTCAGGGGTTGAGGAGAGATGGGACTCAGTAGAGTTTCCGAGGCAGACATCGTCCGGCCTTCGACGATGTTATTGGGTTTTGGAACAATACCGAAGTGATCGACAACCCATTGCTGCTCCTGGAGCACCATTTCTAAGCCGACGCTTTCGGTATTTGTCATCTTCTCGGCATCGATCTCTTCTTGAAGTTCACGAAGTCTCTCCTTGGCCCAGATGGTGTGAAGAACCCCGCGTGTTCCAGTATCTAATTCACTGGCAACCAGGCTTGGCGGGAAGATGGCAGGAAGGGGTTTGATGGTGAGGGATGTACCGTCAGGATGAACAATGGAAACGGTGGGAGGAACATTGGCACCTGGTGGAAGTAGGAAGTACGCCCGTTTATGCGTTCCTTTGACATCGTTACTTGCTAGAAGATGGTTTGTCTTGCCATCCCACGAAACCTCCCATGCCTTGGCTGGCGGTGGTGAGAGTTCGGATGCCGGCGAGGAGGAAGAAGGAGATATCGAGGGATCCCATTCTACCATCAAGACTTTGGTGCCCTCATTACCCTTGCCTGCCTCGAACTCGAACCGGGCAAGGGCAAAGGGCGCAATGTTGGCGGCAGCGTCGGGATTGGTGCTTGTTGTCGGTCCGGGAATATGCACTCCCATCGACGCCACTCGAGGTGGCGATGAAGCCCGAGAACTACCCGGCGTTCCCATCTCTTCGTCTCCTTCCGGTCCTGACCCTATTGTGGTCCGGTGTGAGGTGGGTTTTGCGGACACGACGCGGTGCGGGGCCGGGCGTTTTGCGGCCTGCTCAAGTACCGAGGCGTGTTAAAGACTCAAACTACCCATGCATAGCGTACTTTCCCCGTCAGCACCGGACAGGAAAAGCAGAACGTATTCCCGGCCAGTGGAAACAACCCGACCGAGTCTACCGTGACAATTATTTGCAGCGATTGAGCCGTGGTATGGGTTCTAGGTGATTCACCGACAGTGAAGTCTTGTCTCCGGCAAAGACAAATGATTTGAGACGGAAGAGAAGAATGAGGTGTTTCGCACTGGTGTAGATAAATCGGCACCAACCAATGATTAAGATGAGTTTAAAGGAGGAAGTACCCGGACTTGGCGACGAATGGGATGCGGAAACGGAGATAGAGATGGATGGAATTCGATCAGGTTCGGGCCGTTGTGGCTGAGGAGATTGACGCCAAGCGCGCCCAAGAGGATTTTCTTATTACTTGCGAGGATACATATGGAGCATCACTTATTTTCCGAGTATACAATCGAGCGGCCTTCAACTACAGTGTAGGTGTCATGGCGGGAAACGAATTGTGAATCAACGTTGAAGCAGGGCCGTATACGTGCCTAGGGCATTCGGGCGTATCGCGGCATCCCAAGGTCCCTTTCATTGTCAAGGCAATAGTGAATAAGAGAGATACGGGGGAGACAGAAAACTACGAAGGGGCCTCTGTCTCCCACATCAGCTACCAAAGTGAACAGCATGTATTGTCACTCGAATGGTACGGTTGGCCTTCAGGGCCGTGTGGCTGAGTCGCGTGTGGCTGTCAAAGGGTGACACAAACCCGCCACGGAGTAGTAGTTTGTCCTGACTCCTGACCCTGGGCTCTGGAGCAGCTCAGAGAGCGGAGGAAACGCGGAGTAATATGGAGGGAATGGGTCTGGAGGTACGGATACAAACATTGTGTAAATTTTTCGGTAAAGCTGGAGAAGTTTGAGAGGGGAGTTGCAACCTGTGACCTCGGGCGGGGAGAATCCCACATATCCACGGGGCATTCTCGGCCGATGTCGATGCCATTGCCCGCTAGTGTACGGATACTGGGGGGGGGGCTGGCCTGGCCAAGAAATATGGCTTCATGGTCGACCAACATGACGGGATTCAAGTCTTCATCTCACAAACGCAAAGGATGATGGCGCGCCACCACCAGACGCACTCAAGTTACGGGTTCTCTTCTCGCGAGCATGCGGGTTATGTCGCTCAATTTCTGCGAGGCTTACATAAAGAGGTGCGGATAGGAAGTTCTTACCCTTGAGATTGGCTCGGGAACACGGAGAGAAGTCTCACAAACGTAAGTAGATGTACGGATACAGTCCCGTATCTGTAGGGTAATATACGGATGATGCAGTACCAAAAGTGGAGCGAGATGCCTTCCTCATCCAGTATTCCGTAGCGCTCGTGACCTGATGAATGACCAACCGGAAGAACGTTGTTAAGTGCTAGAACGTCCATCTCTTTTTGCTTCAGGACGGAGTATGCCAGGGAGCCGGTAAAACGTTACTCACCAAGGTAGCCACACACACACACTCTCTCTCTCTCTCTCTCTCTCTCTCTCTCTCTCTCTCTCTCTCTCTCTCTCTCTCTCTCTCTCTCTCTCTCTCTCTCTCTCTCTCACGCAAGGGAAGTAGAGCGGAGCGGATCATGGATAACGGTACTCAAAGGTAAAGCAATCCACCAACGGCGGCCAGGCGGCCGGAAAACGACGTGAAAGGCTGGGGCCTTTGGGGGGAGATATCAGCTGTGACGAATGCGGAGGGGAGGCAAGGCCGAAGACTAAGAGCCTAAGAAAACAGAAAGGCCGCGGTAGGTCCGAGGGCCGCTCCACCACGCCATCTGGATTTTTTGACGGTACTTACCTTTACAAGCACCTACCTCCGTAACTACCTTACCATTTTGCACCACCAATGGCATCGAGGCGCGTACCTCAGTGACTTGCAGTGCTCATGATTGGGCCCAGTCTGACAAGAGGTCGAACTGGTACCGTGGCACCGTAGCATTTACGGTTTACTTTACTCCCCCGGTATTTGTACAATGTCTCCGTCCCCCGCTGCATCGAAGGCAGCTTGTCCATCCGAGACAGCGCCTAGCCACTTGTGTCGGTTCCATCGCTTCAACTTCGGTCACTTCGGGCCAATCTACCGTGTTCCATTTGACCCCATGGGCCACGCTCAAGTTGGCACTGGTAGATGTCGGCTTCGCACGAAGTACACTAAGCTCACGAGGGTCGAGGGGTGCCAAGGTCCATCTCTATTTGCCATCCAAGGTTTAGTGTGCACTATGAACATGCCGATGAGGTGCCAGGAACTACGTAGTATGGAATTGTAGATGCAGTGTGGAACACTGTTGAGTTTTGATCTTCTTTCTCTTACATGCGTACATGCTTTTAGGATACTCAGCCCTCGAGGGAATGGGAGAATGGGCAAAAACTCAAGTGATGCAAAAGGTGCGCTCACGACGTACAGTTGCAAGATTCCTTGGGTAGGTTTGTACCTTCGACACCTTTCTTACCTGGACGAATCCACCATGCTCTGTACCCCGATGTGATTCACTGCTTGCTTTGTGGCGCCCTGTGAAGCCAAGCCAACCGTGTGCAAATGGCGAAGGCGAGAAAATCAATGAGCCTATACAGTAGATCGGCAGTGTCGGCGATGCCCGCAGCCCGCTGGCCTTCTCATTCCTGCCGGCTGTAAATTTTAACACTGCGAGAATGAAATAAAACGTGAGTCATGATCAATGGAATAGGTAGATGTCAGTACCAACATGCTCAACATGAACATCGTCTGGTGCACACTACTTTCTAGCACGCTATGCGATTGATAGATCCGCCGATAGAGAAATGTTTCCAGACTGCCACTGTCTGGTCTACCTACGGAGTAGTGCCGATAGACGTGTCTCCGTTGAAGCGTCAGGCATGGGACTGTCTCGGGCCTATTTGGTAATCGGTCCTGGATCATCGAAGTCGGTCTAAGTAGCTCTAGGGCGGCTGAGACCATGATCCATCAGCAGTAACTTTGGACAGGTGAAGCATCTATCCGCGATAGCATCGAATCGGGCTTTGCAACACAAATGAGCCAATGGAAACAGAGCGAGAGCATCTAGCCGTAGGAGCTCCGTCTCGATCTATGCCGGGCTTCTCTCCTAGATCGTTTGCACGAACGTGGTCGGTACTTCATCGGTGCATACTGTCTAGGGATACTTCTTTGCGCCCGCTGCGCCCGCTGAACCAAAGGTAGCCATGGGCCATCGCCCACTTGACGCGGGACGATGGCCGAGAAGTGCCTACGCAGTGTGTCCACAGCCAAACTACCAAGCTGCTTCATCGCGTGTAGTTGAAGGCAAAAAAAGCATGGCATACGGCCAATAAATTGGAGCGGCATCGGGCGGGCTCACCCTCAATCCCCCGGGCCCCGGGATCGACATCTAACTCTCGAGTCTTACAATGGCACTGGATAGGAAATGGAGACGGGGAAGCGCCATAGAGTCCGTAAAACAGCCGAGGAATGAAAGTCGACTGTTGAACTGCGAAATAAGAAGATACCAACGAATGGACAATCAGGTATCTGATCTGAATTTGTACGTACCTAGGTAAGGTAAGGTATCTCGCCGATGGAAACACCTGATTAGTCGCAATTGCAGTTGTCGCTC